GGTGGTCGCAGTGGTCGTTCTTTTCGTCAACATGGATCAAGAGAAAGGCGTCGCGAGTGTTCTCGTGCTCGTAGTCCGGTCTCAGCCATCCCTCCCAGGCAGTCTTTGAATGTCCCAGAATCCTCATCACGTTCGAGAAGAAAGGCAGCAACAAGGGATTCAAAAGGACGTGGAGGCGGAGGAGGAGGTGGTGGTGGAAAGAAGTCCTATCGAAGCAGTCATCACAGTAGTCGTCATCCTCGATCACCAACACCACGTAGGAATCGACCACCTTCTACATCTCGAAAATCTCGTCTTCCTGATGTTGGGATTCAATCATCTTCCATGACACCAGTTAATCCCCTGGAACCGGTTTCGAATGCGTTCACTGATGTTTGGGCGAAACAGCGTCGATCATCAGTTGGTGTCATCTAAACATTTTCACTTTTCATATACTCTGCACTAACATACACTCATTCACTTGAAATGCCTGTTTTGTAAATAAAATGGAAAGAATATGCATTCGCGACTTGCTCAATTAATACTTAATTATGGGTTTGTGAGCGCATTGATGTCTGCTAACCAACTTATCATTAATCAGTAATAAAGCGGTTTGTGGGTTATTATCAATGATGAGGTGGATTGATTATTGGCTAAATAGAATGCTAGCATGTAACTTACCATTTCCCAGGCAAGAAAGTCTCAACAAACGACATTTCTTATGAATACTACCACTTGGAAGCGTTGTTTTTGATGAGATACTGGTATGTTAACAATAATTTCACACGTTGTCCACAATGGAACAAATCATTGTGTTCATATCATGATATCTTCGATGCGTTATTTATCATACACAAGCGAAACACCGTAAAGTGTAAAGTGTAAAGAAGTAAAAGACAACAAAAGAACGCACTTAACAGATTGATGACTATCGTTTAGAGGGAGAAAGAAGGAGAGAGGGAGACTGAGAAAGAGTGAGAATAATACTTCTGTTTGCAAGTACTTCGGCTTTAGCACAAATTCATATTATCTTCTTTAATTACCTTCGATTTTAAACTTTTTAACCCTGCTCCACATTATACAACTCTTCTCATCTAATCACCTATAATTTCAAATCTATTGCCCATGCAATAATGTGAGTTGATCAAGAATGCCCTTAACAAATGAGATTCATAAACCCTTAATCCGAATTTCAGACTCAAACTTCGTGCCAACAAGTGTTAAGAGGAGAAAGTGGGGATCATTAAACGAAAAGATTTAGCACCAAATGTGTCTCTCTCGATTGGTGCTAAGACCCTGAGAAGAGCACCATAAATGGATATTTGCTTTAAAATGCGATCGAAATGCAAATTAGGGTTAATGTGGTGAGAGCTGTAATGTGATCGTTTTCAATTGAACGAGAAGGAAAACTTGTTGAGAAGTAGAAGGATTTGAGGATTTGGAGGATTAAAAAAACCATTAGGTAAGTAATATAGAATGCGATTCTTA